TCCAGAGACAGAAGACATGTGGGTGTGTATTGGATTCCAACCCCATCCAGCTAGGTTGTAGCAGGTGGGCGTGGCAGCGTGGCGAAGTGACCTGTCAGAAAGTGCCCATACTTTGGGCTCTGAATGCCACAATTTTGGGTCCAGCTGCACCAAACTCACTAGGATGGATCTTTGTCCAACCCCGGACAGGAATCCAGTGCAATATTTGGTGGGCGTGGCCTAATGTCTCAACAGCGCCCCCTAGCATGTTTTAAATGATCAGCCCCAAGCCATGCTTTAACAAAGAAGCGGCTTTTTGGGGGCTTTATCATATTTAAAAACTCACCAAACTTGGCAGTCCCATACATCCTGTGAAAAAATTTTATATTTTAAGGTCGACGCAAAAATCGCAAAAAACATGGCTCAACGGCGCCCCCTAGAATTTTTCAAAAGTCCCTTTCCTATTCTCTTAGTTTATCGTAGAGACTTGAAATTTGGTACACTTGGAGAGCTCACCAAAACACTCTGAATTTACAATTAATGTCATAGTGCAAGTATCACAGAATGTCGGCCATTTTCGATTGAAGTTCCAATTTTGACCCGATTTTGGCCGTTTACAGGGTTCGCATTTGATCGAACTTGTCCTAGGGATTTCGATCGATCGGCTTCAAACTCGGTCAGATCGTTCATAAGGCATGGCCGATCCAAAGTTATCAAAGGTTTGCGTTTTCAACCTTCCTGAAGGGGGGTTACCTGGGGTCAAAGTTCACCTAGTCGCCATGAAAAATAAAACGGTTATAACTTTTACAATAAAAATCACAGCAGCACCAAACTTTCAGTGATTGATCATCATGGGATGCTCTACAATACCCAACGGTCAAATGATGACGTCACTTAGGCCACGCCCCCTGAGAACAGGAAGTGTCATGTTTTACTCTGAACGGTCCCTTTCTGACCCCTTTGAGCTAATCAAGATGAAACTGTGTCCAGAGACACAGTTTCATCTTATAATCCACATTACACCACATTACATGTTGGTGTAATGTGGATTACAACCCCATTTGTTTTCAATGGAGTAGGTCAGCGTGGCGGTGTGGCGAAGTGACCTGTAACGCCGTTGCCATACATTTGTCTGTAAATTCTATATTTGAGCGAAGCGGCACCAAACTCACTAGGATGCATCCTTATCCATCCCCGAACATGAATCCATAACAGTAAATGGGCGTGGCCTAATTTCTCTACAGCGCCCCCTAGAATTTTTTAAGTGATCAGCCCCAAGCCATGCTTTAACCTAGAAATATGAAACTTGGTACACAAGTGTATCTTGTAAGGAAATACAAAAAAGTCTCTTGGAGCTATGGTGCAAACCCAACAGGAAGCCGGCCTTTTTGGATAAAACCCGCCATTTCCTTTTTTTCATACACATCACATCTGATCGAACTCCTCCTACATCTTTTGAGATACAGACTTGAAACTCACTCAGCACACTCTTGAGACATTGAAGGTGAAAAGTTATCTAAAGAATTCTCGTACATCAAAGCATGTGGGCGTGGCTAAGTTTCAAAATTTGACTTTTCTCCATGAAAATTAATGTGCAATAACTTCCAAATGCCAGGTCAGAGCTGCTTCAGACTTTCCATGTCTCATTATAGACCAGCCCTGATCACATTAACATGGTGAATTGATGACATCACCTAAGCCCCACTCCCCTCCAAAAGGAAGTCACCCATTTTTTTCTGATGGATGTCTTACTTATACTCTATGATTCAAATGGGATCAATCCTGTGCCAACTGATATAAAATTACATGATGTTGAACTCTGTGAATGTTGGCTGCTGGCTGAACCATGTGGGCGTGGCTAAATAGCGAATAGCAATGCTCGCCATATGTCTACGATCGTCTCTAATTCACACATGCATCATCCGATTTGCACCAGACTTTTTATGATTGACTCTGGTGAACCTCTAAAGAGCCCAATAGCATTACATTGTAATTTGACTCCACTGCGCCCACTAGGTTAATCAAAGAGCTGTATCTCCTTGCTGCATGGCCCAAACTGCACCAGATTTTTTGTGCATCGCTGGGGAGCGCTGCCGAACGCATCAATGCATATCGCCTGGAGGACGAGCGCGGGAGCCACACGAGAGTGCTTGCGGTGGCTGGCGTGTGGCAGTGCTGGAACCCCCGTGGTGGCCAATAGGCCAGAGCGGCGCGGAGCTGTGAGGGCTGTTCGAGGCTGCTTGCAGCTTTAATTATTATTGATACTTTAATTAAAAATGAGTTGTACAAGTTTATGTCATGGGGGCGCCAATGACATGTTTGCATACACCTCAGAAAGTATGTAGTTGCGCCCCTGTACATAGATACAGCTTAACATGCACCAAAATGAAATATATACTGTATGTGAAACTGTTCAAAGTGTCACTGTAGAAATCAATGATTACCAAAAAAATACCTAAATAACTAGTGAGTCCAGAACTCCAGGAAAAATGTGTTTCTACATGTATTCAGCATGTGTACTTAGCTCAATGAATCACAATAAGGTTCAAATTATTTGTGGTGACGTTATCATTGTCTTGTTAGATCCCAACACAAAAAGCCCCCACAAATTTTACAAAGCACCAGCTTTTTTCTAAACAGCTGGTGCTGTTTAGAAAAAAAGTACCAGTAGAATAATTATTAAACCAAGTAGAATAGCATCTCATACTGCTACTGTAATGAATAATTGTTGTGGATATAGTCTTCTTATAAATGACACCATTGACCACTTGGCTGTTTTTGTAGTTTTTCCAATTTCTTTTATAAAACAGAAATTTATGAATGGAACTTATAAACACATTCAGCGTAGAACACCTGAATATGTTGCTGGAGACATTAACACAGTATATGGCAGTTTTTTAAATCAATATTAATAAGGCTTCATTGTAAAAAAAAAGTCATTTGCAAAAACCTATCCCAAGGAA